AAGCAAAAACCAGCAACAAAAATACAGGGCCGCGTTTTTCTATTACATTGAAGACCACATGCAAAAATTCAAGCCCTTTCACGAAAATTTTTTTTCACCCAAATCGTCACTTAGCATGGTTTTGCACTCACCCCTTCAATTAGTCTGTCTCTTTTAGTTTGGGAGGGTCTGACGATACTCAGTTTTGCCTACTACAAAACATTCTCCATCTACTTCAATTTTTTGGGACAACCCTTAATTCACAGTTACATTATATTGTTGTCAAAGTATACCACAACTAATAATATTATTGATAATTATGTAATCTAGGCAGAAGGCCTTACTATTTTGTGTGTCATTTCCATAGCTCATGAATCGCACAACACCACCAGTTCCAGGTGTCACTGCCGCTGACTGCCCAGAAATGGGCAACCTGTTCTGAGTCACGTTAAGTGACTGCACAACAAGACTTGCCAGGCGAGATCCATCACTTGTTTGCTGCGTCATCACTTCATCAGCAAAATGCACCGAGGGTGTAGGTCCATAATTTGGAGCAAATGATGACGGTGTAGGAGTGGGATCAGATGATCTTGAGGGTATGCTACTGATACCACTGCTGCTTTCGGAGCCATGGGTTGTGGACAAGATACCAGGAGTACGACCAGAGACACCAAGGGACACTGCAGGGGTGGATGTCAGATAGGTTGGCAGTCCACGACCAAAGAAAGAAGGGGCTCCTGCGGGCTAAAAAAGGACCAGTGCAAAATTAGATTTGGCTGCGACATTATACATGAATATGTAACAAACACTTTAATAAAGCAAGGCTATAAACAACTCCATATCAATCTAGAAGAGTCGGGCTCCATCCAATGACCTGACTTTCTATAGTTTAGCTAAAACCTTTCTTATGAATAATACATGCCAAGTAGATCTTTTACATTTTTATTGAAAACTCTCCCAAAGTAGCTGGTGGAATCTGGTTATTTGTCAACAAGGTTTACATGTAACTTGAAACAAGTAATGAACTTGAAATATATATTTTTTGTTTCATGACAGGGGCATTACTGGCATGAAATGCCCTTACTACATCATGATCTCTTTAGACCAAGAATTCCGCCTTCATTGTGAGAAAAATGTCATATGAAAGAAGATAATGTCTGAGTGTCATTAATTTCTGACAAGTTTTGAGAGTGTCAACAATCACATACGCTATAACTTCAGGGATGTGGTGGTTTGGCCTCTTGCTAATAACTTGGCTGGACCACTCCAATTTAATCTCTAGTTTCATATTATATGAATGACACCTTGTATGTTGAATAGGTTAAACAAAAAGGCCAAACCATACATGATACTGCTAGCAGACTGTATGTAACAAAATACAGCATACGGCAAACCAAAAGCAACTATCCGTAATATAAAGTATTTCTAGGTGTTGTGGTCAATTTTACCTGGCCATGTGATTGTTCAGTCAAAGAACTTTCACTGATGCTCAGCAAAAAGTAAAGAATGGCCCATCTGTTTTGAAGGACAGGCTGGAAATAATGAACAAGTACTTAGTAAATTTAATGGTTAAACGTTGCATTCAATTCCATATGTCTGCTTCACAATCTTAGCAACAAAAGGGGTTCTACATGTATGTTGTTACTACTGCACATTACTGTATGTGTTGTAGATTAAAATGTATCTTAAATCTTTAAGAAAGAGTACAAATGGCACCTTCTAAACAATCAAACTTGATTTTACTGCTGCTGTTTTACTTTGCTGTCTGATTTTGTTGCTACTCTAGTGCGAAGGTAGTGTATGTAGGTTGTAATGAAGTGTATGTAGGTCTAGCTTAGCTGAGTTAATTTTTTATGCTGTCATTTACTTGACTGTGGCAGTGTCCCACCAGAAAGTTCTTGCTACTTTGGCCACTGGGAACAGTAAACTATTTCTAAGACTAACAGATACTATGAGCAAAATTGCAATGATTGCTTGCGTGGCCGAGTGGAGATAACGTAATAATAAATAATAATAAACTTTATCTAAGTGTCTTACAACTTAAGCTCAGGAAGCTAATTGGGGACACAAAGGTGGACTTCAAAGTCAGAGATCAGGTGTTCAAATCTAGGTGAGTACATAATAATAATAATAATAATAATAATAATAATAATAATAATAATAATAATAATAATAATAAAAAATCTGGGGGTTTAGGGTTAGGGGGGTTGATATGGGATCCTGGCAGGGTAGGGTAGGGTTTGAAACTGAGGTGGTGGGTAGTGTGCATGTTACTCTTTTTAAGAACCCCCTAAAAAGTGGAAAACAAAAAAAGTCTGGTTTGAAAAAATTTAGCCTACACTGTTTATTATAGGTTGAAACAAATCAATCTACAGTTGAAATCATTCTGACCCAAAATACATTTTAAACTAGAGATGCGTATCCTCACTTCAATCAGCAGGGGTACATGTGGTACATTGCAAATGTGAACTGCATGTACAAAGTCATGAGCTCAGTAGCTCTTGTTTTAGACTAAGATATATCTCTTCCTATTTGATCAATTTAAACCAGCGAAGTAAATGTGGGCCAGTAGATTCCCAAAGTTAGTGGACTGTTGACTATTGATTCCGTCAACAGATAACATCTTTAATACAGGACTGACAAGCTATACAGTGTATGTACAAACACTCACTGGCCTGCTCAAGTGAAGTTTGCTTATTACAAACTCTGATATGTATCTTGTTCTAGAATTGTATCAGAACTGCAAATAATCGTCAAGCCATCAAAAATTCTTCTGTATCTGGCAAAATTTTCATTACCAGTGGCTCTCTTATACTTGATAAGTAAGGTTAGTTTAGCTGGATTACATGGTGACTTAGTCAGACATTTAACATCAGTTGTCTGAAAAGTACATGATTAATTCACTGACTGATTGATTACCTGATTCAAGAAAACATTAAGTTATTAATAGCCATGTGGGCTATGAATCAATCACAATCACAATACACATATGTTATGCATCTTCAGGAGGTCAAAGAGGTGAAAATCAGTCATTCAAATGTATAAAATAAAGTTGATGTTAAAGCAGATGTCTTACTTGTGAGGCAAGCTTGCGGTACAACTCAGAAAAAACAGCAATGTCAACCTCTCTTTTCTCCTTGAGCACTACATTATAGAAAGGAAAAAAAATATATTAAAATAAATTAACTGAACTAAAAACCTACTATGGGAAAATTCACCAAAATTTAAACATCAAATGCAATTCGGCTTTAAATCTTTCTCCTGCCAACTAATTTTTTGACACTTTTCAACTTGAGTACTCTTAGTTCATAAACATTTAAGATACACTTAAACCAGGTTATGAACAAAGAGCACAAAGTTAGATTCCAAGATATTGTTTTATTGGTCCATGTACAACCTGCCAATGGTGCATTACACTCATGTGTTTTTAGCTCAGTTCCAAATTCTGTAAACACTACATACACGTACTCGTATTTCATGTACCACTGTTCCCCTTTTTTCCACTCCTCTATTAACCAGAAGGTACCTCGTGACAGGACTTGTGAATGGGCTCCACAAAACAAAAACTGCAGAGAGTACTCTGTTGGTTTGTCAAAGTCATTTTTTAAGCTTGACATTAGTTAAATTATGGTAGTTTGGGAGTGACATTCCCTATTTCTCAAATGAGATGAACAGGAACCTGAAGTCTGGTTTCTTGTGTTTCTCTGAGTTGTGTTTAATCCATACAAGGCAAAGCAAGGTTTATCATCTTTATCATGTTTCATATATTTGTACATGTGTTTCTTTAGATTTCAGTTTATGTACAGTTTTCAATTGTTGGATGCCATTATTTTCTTTATGAAACAGAAAACATCTTCCTTGTTTTTGCCTAGTTTAAGTGGAAGTCCAGGAGACAAGAAATAATATGGTCAACTCTGCATGTGCTGTGGGATGGTTTCCATAGCTTCTCCCGAGTTCTCCCAAACTTACATCCATGTTGTTATACCATGACCAGAATACAAACTGGGGTCTCATTACCCTTTTCAGCTGAGCAGGAGGGAAACTGGTTTTCACAGTCAGGCAAAACTTTTTGAACTGAACTCCTTTATAACAAAAAATGTTTCCTAGATGATCAAACCAGGCTGGCAAAATCATTCTAACAGTCAGTCAATTTGCCCAGTGCATGGCCCTTGATGAAACCCTTGCACAGAGCGCGACATTAACTTCTCAACTTACTAGCCTTGTGGCTAGTGACAACTTAGATGTTACTACCCAATTTTTTTTTTTTTTACTAGCCAAGTATTTTTCTTTGACTTACCCATTTACGTACCACACAGCGAAAAGTAAACAAACTTACATTTGCATACGTACTGAACTACACATGCCTGGTGACATAATGCATTAATGAAATTCTGATCTTTTTTCCGAGAAAAGCATTTGTCTCCCCTGAGGAAGACACTTTCAGTTTGGCCAATTTCATTTTGTTTACTAGCCAAAGTGGTTAATGGAAATCAAAAACCTACTAGCCAAAACTCAATTTCTACTAGTCTGTGGTTAGTTGGCTACCGTTAGTGTCGAGCCCTGTTGCACAAAGGAAAAGTTTCCTAGTACAGCTGTTGAATTGAGCACTTTCTTACTGGGTGTATTCTTAAGACACACTCTCTTCTTCTCTCTCTCCTCCTTTCCTCCAACTGGAAATGCAGCTTAGATTTGCTCATTTCAATTTTCTCAAGTCCAGAGGATATATGCAATATAAGGTAGCAGCCATGAGCAGAAACAAACAAATTAATTATTCTCAACCAAGTAACAAAATATATACATTTTCTTTTAATCCTTTCCACCACTCTGAACTCATCTGTGGCTACAGTTGGAGCAAAACGACTGGAAAGAATACACAAGACAAAATGAATCATGGTACAGAATAACTAACTACATGTATCATTTTCTTACAACTAATTGGTGACTGTATCAAAACCAAGTGAGAATAGATTTATAGACTGTTAAGGAAATAATCCTTGTTCATATAACTGGTCTTCAATAAAATAATCTAGAGTTCAGCAAGGACTAAACACCGTAAAATTCCAAAAGTAACAACACCCAGAAAGTAACATCAAAAAATTGTGGCCGCTAATAAATTCCAAAAGAAGTGATTCCCCACCCTCTTCCGCCCCCACCATTTTTGAAAATTCAACCAAATTTGAATTGTTTACAGCCTCTGGAGGTAATAAAATTAGGTGAACAAACTTTAAGATTGTTTCAAATTTACATCTTTTGTCTTGAAAAATGCCATTCATTTCAAGAGTAACTAGCATGTCCATCAAGACTGATTGGCGATTTTCACTGTTTGCTAGTCCTTATGTTGAATGCTGGCTATGTAAAAGGTTGATTTAGTGACAGGGTATTCTGATATCTTCGCATACCCTGATTAATATTGAAAGACTCTCAAGTAAATTTACAGGGCAAATTTAGAATGCACGTAGCTGTTTAGCCTGATGTTTCAAAAATTAAATATGGGTTATTGACCAAGCTTGTTCAGTCAAGATGTCTTGATATCGACCCAGTTATTTCTTTTCATTTGCTTGAAAGATTGATATTAATATATGCAGAGTTGTCATTAAGTTTTGAGTCAACTGTAGCCTTGGTCTTCACACCCATAACAAACTTATTGCCTTTTAGGTGAATTGCATCAACTCTAGTCAAGTTCACCCATAACATCAAAGGCCCATTAAACATACTCAGTTGTAACAGGTGTTATGGGTTACATCCCTTATTGACAGCCCTGATATATAGAGGATATTACATGGCTGGGCAGAGATACCAAATTTCTCTTCCAGTAAAAGAAGAGAAATTCAGTATCTTCAAGTGGCCAGGTAATGTGCTATTTATTATATGACCACTAGTGGAATGATGAACCATTTAACTCTTGCTGCAAAAGGCACGATTTGTTATGTTAAAGTAGCGATGTGATCTTTCCACTGTGAAGATAGAAGATCTCATGGTTTCACACGAGAGCTCACCTGGTATTTCATTGCTGTTTTTAAAATAAATTGTATACATTTTCTTGCGGGAAACAGTGGGTAATCATGAGCGGGCATTTTACTTGCCCAGGTGACCAATAACAACGCAAAATTTGGTACATTCTTCCTACTTACTCACCTAGCCATAAAATATGCACTGTTAATTAAATAACTCCTGTCAAAAAACCACTCGACTCACACAGTGGCTATCCTGCATCCCACTTTGCTTTGGTTTATGACCATGCAAATATCAGTCTTGGTAATAATAACTGATCCATTACCACATATTATTCATGAGCCGTTTAATGACATCTGTAAACAGCAGACTGCGGACCGCAGACTGCAGAATATCATATCCCCATTTCCATTAGCGAGAGTTAACCATAACAGGCTAAGATGAGCGCTATTCAGGCTAACCTGAGTGATATTCAGGCTAAACTGAGCGCTATTTAGGTCTAAATGAAGTCTGCAGTCTGCAAATGCCATATACCGTCGATAAACAAATGACTATTACATCAGATAGAATGTAAACTAGAATAAAATAAAAATTACCTACCTTCCCACAACTCTGAGAGCATACTGGTAGTGCTGGGATATTTCTAGTGATTTGTTTTCATTAAGAAGGAAAAGCAATTATTATACTTAATGAAAAAGACATGTACAAGCTTAATTTAAGCTCATTAAAAATAATAATACTCTGAAATGTAAATCCCTGCACTCAATCTATCGTACCTTTCGAATCACTTTCTTTTCTCAGAAGTCGGCAGCATAGCTTATGCAGAAGTGCTGTTGGGGAACTAGGATCGTCGATCGATGATTCTACCATTTTTAGATAGTCTCAAATGTTAAAAAAATCCACAATTGATATTATATTTTGGAGGGGTTTGTTGTCGGCCATCTTGAAAACTGCGCGCCAAATATTAAGACGCAGGCGCGTAGCCTGCATAAGATAACCGCTGATATTATCTCTGAGTATTGCTGACGCTTACTATTAACCGTCGTCGGGGTCCATCGACGCTCGTTTCTGCGGCAGGCGTTCGTCAGAGTAATTTAAATAAAGGTAAATTAACTGCCGTAGGGTGTTTGTGAAGCTGACTTCCCTAGCGTTAGCCCGTCAGAACATAGTTAGTGGAGGGGACTATGGTCAGAGAAATTCAATATGGCACCTCTTCGAGTGAAATAATTATTCCACGTTTTCGTACTAAAGCGATAGAGGACACAAACGTCTAACGCCTAACCTGAAACGGCCGTTTGCGGTTTGCCGTCAGCATGAAAACGCTGGTGCTTTATGTCTCTAATAATACCTCGGTCAACTTCAAGTTGATAAATAGCGAAGTGATGCGCTCTTGACTGCAGTCACTACCTTTCTAAGACTTGCTACAAGTCGACCTTTGCTGATCCTTCGCTTATGAAACCAACATTCCAGAGAAGCATTATTGGAAAGGATTTTTAGAAAGTCCATCCCTTTCTTAGCAGTTTGTTTAGTATAACGCGCAACGCGCGTGATACACGGGCTTGAAGCGCCGGGGCAAGCGCAGATTCCGAGAAAGGAGCAACGAAACATTTTAGTTTTAGTCTCCTCCGGGCCCGGGGGGAATAAATGAATGTTACTCTGCCCTAAAAATTTGACCTTTTATTCCTTGTTAAGTCTTTTAAGACGTTATCCATGGTGCTCCGCTGGTTCGTGTAGCGCAGTAATGCGAAATAAAGACTTCGACAAAACCGCTCCATCTCTGTTCGTTAGTCTATCAGGGAATAATTATTTTCCAAAACAAACAACTCCATTGAAAGCGCTCTTCCCCTCGCGCGCGACGTGCGCTTCGCGCTTTCCTCGCTTTCGCCTCTGTTCGCCTAAAATTACCCCTGTTCTGCGAGCTAGTTGGACAGCGGATATTCCGAACGGGCAAGAAAGCGCCACGCTCGTTTGGGTAGCCAATCACAGCACAGGATTCGGTTCACCTTGCCCGCTCACGGATCTAGCCATATAATAAAGTGAAGTTAACTTTTATAGCGCCATAAGCCATGTTACTGGATCATTCTGAACGTCAGATTCTGATGTTCACCTCTGGAAGAAACAAGAAATTATCAGGGCAGTTTGGGTTCCGCAAGGCGACGATATCGAGCTCAGAAAAAAAGTTTCTCGAACTTTCCAAAAAGACCTAACCTGCAAATACAGTCGCCTCTAGTCACCTAAGGCTGGTTTTGGGCACGACATATAAGGGCAAAATTTGTGCAGTACAAAATAGTAAGACTTCGACAACCATACAAACTAACACAACAATTTTATTATCAATACCCCGAATTAAGAATCGATGCAAATGAAACTACCTTAAGTCGATTTAATTACAAATGTATTCCTACTAGAATGTATTAACAATATTGCCTAATTACTATAAATTGCTTAATGCAATAATACTACAAAAACATAACATATTTCTAGCACTGTATAATAGTGAGTAATCCCTTTCACACCAACAGTCAACACTAGCTTACCACGAATTTGTGTTTAAATCCGTACGATATTGCTTAAAAAGGAAAGTTACTAAGCGATATTTTCGTGCTGCACTGCTCGATATAAAATACGAGGCGGTTGAAATTCAAAGATTACGGGATTTATTTTGGGTGGAAGTGTTTGCTTCTCAACAAAATTTGCTAAATTAAATGTAAAATACTTTCAAGTTGACCTTGACCACTCTCGACATTGAAAGGGTTTAAGTAGTACTGCTACCAATAACGGTGTTTTAAGATAAGAATGACCAAAGACCTTATATAGAAACAAAAGGCCATTTTACAATTGTGTGCTTAATTACCTGGTCTATGAATACAAGCGAGGCTGGAGGTGACCTTGCTTTTCTCATTCAAATGCCAGCTAGTTAGCACGAGAACAACTCGATTTACACAACAAAAGCAGCGAGGTCTTTATCAAAACAAGGTTAACTGAAGCCTCGCTGCCATTCAAAGGCCAGGTCACTGAACAGACAACTGTAAAATGATCTATTTAACATGTTGCCACAAGAGTGTGTGGTCGGAAAAATGTAAAGGTACCTGAACCAAACTGAAACAGTGAACCGTACAGTTTTCCTCCTCGCTCTTGTCTATTATCCTCAATATCCCGTGGGTCGAGTAGTTTTCTAAATATTAGTAACGACTACGGCCAGGTTTCCACAATTTGGTTGCTCTGCTCACGACTCCAGAAATTCTAGATTACTTGTTTTACAAAATATACAAGCAAAGGAAACAAGTGTTCTGTAAAATCAAGCGTTTCCAAGAGATCTCGTCTTCATAAAATTTGGAAATTTACGAAGGAAAACGCGTTATCTAGGAGAAAATTGACTCGACTCCATGCTATAATGGCAGAAAAGATATCCGTCAAATGGCCTTAAACCTTAAATAAACACAAGTGATGAGACCTTGATTCATAGCCTGAATGCCAATTAAGATTTTGTATTATTACGCCACTGGGGCAACAAGTGCCGTTTTTGGATCTCCTTGTCTTCGGAGGCCTTCTGATTGCAAACGGTAAATTTGTCATGCGAGCTTATTTTTAAAAGAAAAAAAAAAAATTCGTTACATTTCTTAGTAGCTGAAACTAACGTAACTGATCACAAATGGTCTGTTTCACGGGCTTTAAGGACTATTACCAGCTTCTTCGTCACCGTTGAGCAAAACACGATAACTTCAAGAGCAATTTGTTTTAATGATTCAATCACTACACTGAAGTAACGAGATTGAACGAAGTTAAGATTCAGTTTAGACATCAAAATTAACTTAAGCCTTGACACAAGGTTATTCAGAATTACCTCGCGAGGTGTATAGGTTGCAGTTGGCGCCACTATGTCATCTATGCTTTATAACTACACTATCTAAGTTGTCCAAGCCAAAATTGATTCTCGTTACTACCAAATAGAACAAAAAGACTTCTCCAAGCAATTCAGAGACAATCACCTTGGCAGTCCTTACTTGGGCAATCACGCAATATTTCGCTGGGTTGCATTACCACCCAGATAACCGCTACCAAAACTCGGCTCCTACAGACAGTAAAAAAAGTTTAATTTTAACCATTAGTCCTTGTCGAATGAACACTGTTATTCTTACAATCTAGGACTGTCTCTGTGACATCTGCTGCGACGCTCTTTGTAAGTGAAGTGGAGCGAACGCCAGGTTTTTCTTTATTGGTAACATTCTCGGGAAGAAGGCATGACGGCGTCTCTTCTTCTTACTCGCCTCTCGGTAGCAAACGGAACAGCGGCTAACACGGCTTAAAAGATTACCAGGTTTGAGGGTCTCTGGTGTCTGGGCGACAAACATCTGGTCGACAGTAGCGAGCCAGAAGCTGTATTTATTGGCAAAATAGTGGCAAGTACCACGACCGTGGCACTCAAAGAAGGGATTGTGGCGGAATGTTCTGAGGCACGAGCCAGGAGAGGAGAGCGATTGACCACTTCCGCTACCACCAGCTCCAGTGTGCTGCCGGGAAAAACAGCCAAAACATTAGACGCAAGACTAGTCAACAACAAAAACAAGCAGATAGGATACAGATCAGGAAAATTACAATAGAGAATCACTCAGAATGAGGCAATGGGCTGGAGAAATATCCTGCAATAAACAGGATGGCTAATATAACATTTTTGTTCTTTCAAGAGAAAATGCTGACATCGGTATTTTTGTTCGAGATTCAAGGTTAATTATCTCTGATTATCTCTCAAGGCTAATCATCTCTCTGGGCTACCCCCACTTTTTTGGATACAAAGGTGTTTTCGCAAGATTAGTACCACGTGGAAAAAGTAGATCTTCCCTTGCTAAGATCTACTTTTTCTACATGGTTCTAATCTTGCGAAAAGACCTTTGCATGTAGTAGGTACCGTCCTTAAAAGCACAGTTTCCAGCATTACAGAGTGCGACATTCCTTTTGGTAATCACATGATCTTGTCTTCAAAAGTAAGATGATGCATCAATATGACCGTTTCGCACTCAATTTCACTTTTCTGCACTGATTAATTGCACTGATTTGGGATTAATTGAAATATTCTTAGCCAATCAGAATACAAAAATTGTTGCTTGTGGATTGCTTTGTCCGAAATCAATAAAAAGGAAGCCGGAAACTTGTTCTTCCGATATTTTTAGGCTTCATCAAGTGGCATCAAAGAGAGAACATTACCATCAGGAAGCTGTATCCGTTCCAAATGGGTTGCCATCCAGCAGGACAATCTGGGATGTTTGTGGATTGACTATGAGTGGCGACAACAGGCCCAGGTGCTTCACAGACAGCGCATCTACTGATGAAAGGCTCGACAGCAGGGGCACTAATAGGCATCATTGGGATTTGTAGGTCCGTTGTGAGCCAGTAGCTGTAGTCATTTCTAGAGGCGTAGTAACACTGTTCGTTGATGTTACAGAACAGGTATGGCATGGTGGTGAATCGTCTTAAACACGAACCCGACGCACCAAGGTCCTGGCCGTGTGAAGTATCATGACCCTGGACATACAGCAAACTGTAGCCCGTCCAGAGTCTTGTCAGATTCAGTGGACAGTCAGGTATTGATGTTGACTGGCTGTGAACAACCATATGGTAGCCTTCCCCAGTTGCCGATTGTCCTATGACGCCCGTATTGCCAGGGGTACCAGATTCCCCGCGCTGACCGGGGAAACCAGCACCGCCTCTCTTGCCGGGGACACCGGGTTCCCCAGGGATCCCTCTAATGTCTGACGGCAAGCCAGGAACACCAGCATCGCCCTTAGGGCCAGGAACAAGGCCACGTGGGCCTAAAACAAAAAAATAGATGTCACGTCTTTACTTCGAGCACAACCAAAATTACTTCAGGCCTCAGTTGTTCGTGGGCTGGACAACACTATCCAATGGATAAATCGCTATCCAGTGGATAAGTGTTATTAGCAAAACAAACCACGCTATCCACTGGACATTTAGTGATTTATGCAGTGGATAACGTTATCCGCCTTTCGAACAACCTAACCCGGGTCAGACCAATTAGACAGGTCTGTCGTCACAAGTGGCAAAACGTACCTTGAGGTCCTGGTTCCCCTGTGGGTCCCTGTATTCCTGGTGTACCAAGAAGTCCATCGTCACCTTTGGCTCCCTTTAGCCCTGGGGTAGTTGTGTCGTCACCAGGGTTACCTTTGGGCCCAGCCTCTCCCGGATCACCATTTCTTCCTGGAACACCAGCGGTTCCGTTGTCTCCTGCAGAGAAAAGAGTTAATTACCCGTGTACAAATCATTTCTCGCGAGTCAAGGCACGACTATCAAGAACAAGATTTGCTTGCAAAATACCTCGGGCAGAATCACCTTTATAATGAGACTTATGCAGACTCTCACAAAATATTTCCGATAGGATACAGAAAGAAACTAAACTGGAGTGATTACCAGGCTTAAAAGAAAACCCTGCAAGGACCAACAAGATTTATTTCTAAGAATAATTTTATCACTCAAAAAGAACAATTCAGTTGGGAAGGCAAATAGCCACGGCTTAACACGAGCTAAACTACAGAATACAGGGCCACTTTTAACCATCCACCGAACAAGCCGACTCGTTTGGCTCGTTTGCTCCTTTGTCATCCACTGCCGAGCCAAACGAGCCACCAAATATAATATAGATTATTCCTCGTTCTTTTTGTTCCTTTTCTTTCCACTGCCGAGCCAAACGAGCCACTAAATATATGCACCTTCAAAAGTGACCCTGTATTGTGTAGTTGCTCCACAACTACTTCCATCAGTGTCTCCTTTGTCAACCATGAACTTGCCATGCTAACTTATTGGCCTGTTTTCTCGCAATTTTCAACTCCTCAAATATTCAACTTGTTACCATAACGTTTATACATTAAGGCATCAAGAAGTATCATTTAACATTATACTTAAGATTGATCAGACAACAGTAACATGTTTGGGCCACTGCTTTAACCTTTCTAACCTTTCTTTCATTGAATTTATCATTGATCAAACAACAGCAACAAGTCAGTTCCACCACTTACCTTTCGGGCCTTTTTCTCCAGGAAATCCGTTGAATCCTGGTAGGCCCACCGTGCCCTGGACACCTTTCGGACCTATCGGGCCCATATCACCTGCATCACCACGAGCCCCGTCTTCGCCTGCTGGTCCCTGCTCACCAGGGGCCCCGGGAAATCCGGGGAGGCCACTATCACCAGTTGGGCCAGGAAGGCCTTTCTTTCCACCCAATCCACTTAAGCCTTTCGCACCTGCAAAATAATAACACATTTCACTACTTCTAAGGAAACAATGGTTTGACCGATATCACATTTCACTGATAATTGATATTTTAAATTAAAGTGAAATGCAGGTTCATTCGTTCTACATTTATCTTGTTCAATCGCAAGTTTACAATATTAAAGAACATTAAAGGCCGCTCAAAAAAGTGTCCAGCACGTTTCCAAGAACTTCTTTTTGACAGGTCAATACTACTGCTGTTTATCAAGCAATGCGACAATAATTGAACTATCAATGGTAATCTTTATGACAAAACAGGTTGACATAGCAACAGTACAGCTAGTTTAAAACACCCTGAATTTTAACTTTAACAGCTTAGAACTCAAAACGAGCTTGATGACCCCCATTTTGTATTACCCAATTGTGATAAGAATGATAAGATGGAACTTTTTCCAAAGTTTAGTAACTTTAGCTTCTCGAGATAACTTCCCAAGTGCACCATAACTCGATGATGCACAGCTAAAAGCAGGAAAATATTGTTTTACAACAGCCAATGGAAACAAATTTGCGACAAGAGACCACTCGCGTGCAAATAATTGTTAACAAGTGAAAGAAGAAAAAAGTGAAGTTTACTTTCCAAAGTTTACGTATACTGAGTTTGATAGCGCGGCTTTGCAAGCTATGTCATAATTAACAAATGGTAAACGCCATAGCGTGTACTATTGAGTTATAAATGCACGCGGGAGGTTGCTAGGCACGAAAGAAGCGTAAGAGTCGCACGAGGCGATAGCCGAGTGCGACTCTAGCTTCTT